GGGTCCAAATCATTGTGGGCCCCCTCTGTCCAGAAATACCCAGGCCCTACAAAGCGTTGCCTGGGCCTGGTTGGGACACGGTGAATAGCGGAAAAACAGGCAAAAGCCAGGTCTGGAGCCAGTGCATGGCGCAAGATGGAGAGGGGGAAGCAGGGGTGCGCCAGGGGCCAAGGAGCTCTACTAAGTACCATGCAGAGGTGCACGCGAAATGGAATATCTCGAGAACGACAAAAAATACTTTTTGTCGTTGGTGGTTTCGTTTAGGGGACACTTCAAGCTATCTTTTAAGCCATAGTACGCCGTTTTCTATCAAGCAACTCATTTTTTAAACTGTAATTGAAATGTTCAACTTTTAATAACTTTTTAGGACTTTTTCCAAAAAAAAATTTTTAAGAACCTTTTTTGTTCCTTTTTTTTCCCTCTTTCCAACTATCACTTCGGTTTTCGTCGAAATTTTGAAGGGAAGTCGCAAAATCTGATAATTTCGGGAAAGGTCGCAAAAACGGCCCTCCCCCTGTACGGCAAACGGTGCGACATATCGAAAAAAGACCTGCGGCATGGGTTTCACAAAAATAAGACCTATAACTGAGGGTGGTGAAAAAAATTTTCCTCGGGGGTGGGGGTCTGTCATTTGTTGAGTTCGAAAATAGCTGCCCACGTGTTACTCTTTTGGAATTTTTCACCCGTGAAAGGAGGTGGTTTTCCGCAGGCGATGAAACGCTTAGGGATAATCAAGAAGAAGTCTAGAATAGAGCGTACATGAAAAAGGGCGTGATTTCGCGACCACCTTCTACCCGAAATCGCCGTAACTTTCTAGATTTTTCACCCTTGCGCACGTTAAGGGATGCTGAGGGCAATTGGGGTGAGTCGAGTTCTTGATCTTTCAGAACCATCAAGCAGACACATAAATGCGCCTCTGTTCCAAATTTCATCTTTCTAGCTCTGCTACAAGGTACCCTGATCAAGCTTGAAAGACTTAACCATGTGAAATTGTACTGCCATTCATGATTAATGGGGAAATATCTCGCATGGTAAAAGGGACAGTTCCCGTGTGTTGTTTTTTTTTCTTTTTTTTTTCTTTTTTTTTTTGTTTTGGACTGGGCAATCACGTTGGTCACGCAACTACTGCTACGTTATGTGAACGCCACGTCACCCTCGCATCCCCTTGTCACTTTCAGCCAAACGCTGGGTCGTTCTCAGATGGAGGTTCAACATGCTAAAGATTAGTATGTTCGGTAAAATTGTTGCATTAGTATGTAATCTCCTTAACATAAGTATGTGAGTGAAGAGGTTTTGGATAGTATGTTCACTCTTGAAACATTAGTATGTGCTCATGAATTTCCAATTAGAGAATAGTATTAGTATGTTAACGTACTAAAAGCTAGAATGCCTATCCTGGGTGTTTGAATATTACCCAGCCGACG